GCGCTGGTTGGCGTCTTGGAGCTCCCCATTTATAGCACAGCACTTCCTCAGCGTCACTGGATCCCAGCAGGGATCCCAGCAAGGTCTCCAAACCTTCCATTGCTCAAAGCTAAGACAGGAGGTTTCCCCTACACGGAGTCTCCCCACCACAAGAGATTTTCCTGGGCAGAGCAAAAATCCAACACACAACTCAACATTTTACAAGCCTTTTCCATGCTGGCTATATTATTCAGTCAACGTACTAAAAAAAAAAATTATATATATATATATATATATATAAATAGATGCAGTGTTCCAGTGCTGTCCAGGAAGAACTGATCCCTCTTTCAGAGGGATCGATGTCTGGCACATTTACACCCTCCAAGGACTGCCCAGCCAAAAATAGCGCTGAAACCAACAAGAGAAACAGCCAATTTGGCTGTTCTTATCCCAACCCGATTAAAAATGACTCTCAATTTACTATCTTACTAAACTACATCTGAAATTGTTACAGTCGGCTGTGTGTGTGCTGGCAAGCGAGCTGTGTGCAACTTCACGTAAGCACAAGTAGAAAGAATGAGAAAGAACCATATTATATATATATATATGAAGAAGGCAAGGAAAGAATAAAAAAACTCTCCTGCCAACAGTCCTTCCATTCGAACAAGCAGGGTCTGGGACACCCTGGGTAGTGACAGACCCCAGATCAACCTATGGTTTCTGGATGTATTTCTCTCTCCTCTCCTCCTCGTGCTGTAACGTGTCCCCTACCCAGGGGGACTCCACAGCATGGAGTCAGGACTGTGTGAGGCAGCTCAGTGCCCAAGGTGACACATCTTGGGAGGCCAGGTGAAGCTTTATATTACCAGTATCAGGACAAATGTACAATAATTTCATTGCACACATTTGTTGACATTTTCTTGGATACAGCAGTAACACTGGCTGCTTCAGGAGAAAATTGCTATGAGGACTTGATCTGCACACACCTCCAGGTGTGATGTACAACACGGTGATACCGTGGTCTGGTGCAGGACTTCTGGCACAGTACTGGCATGGCAGAAATGGTCAACATACCAACCATCCTTTGGTTTTAAAAGTGGGAAGGAAGCACTCAGGAAGGTAGCAGAGAGAAAAAAGGAAGAAAAAAGCCCAGTGGCAGGAATAGCTGTGGAGCTGGGAGGCCTGGGGAAGGATGCCCCAGGACTCAGAAATAAAGCCTCAACACAGGACAAAAACTTCTCTGGATGATCCACGGAGCTCTGACTCAGCCCTGAAGATGAGGAAAACACTCAAGTGCTCCTTAGCTGAACCAAGGCCCAGGTTTCCCAGGCTGCCCACAGGGCAGGACTTTAACCACCCTTGTAGGAGCCGTGATTCATCTCAGGGCAGCACAAAAGCCACAGATATGAGTCAGGGCAGATATACAAAGCCACAAACTTGTCACAGCCCCAGGCATGTCAGTCTGCAGACCATCACTGCAGACCTGTGACTACAACTCTGGATGTTAAGATTTTAATCACGTATTCTGGTTCTACCTTTTGGAAGCCACAGCAGTAATAAAATAAATACCACTTACACAAAGCACAAGCAATGGAGGGGCATGCCTTTCCCTTGCAGAACCAGTACCTGTTTGATGGCACTGATTTATATTTATCTAAATAAGACTAATTCTATATTTTGATATCATTTCCCTTCTTAACCACTGGAGAGGGGGAGAACGTTTAACATCTAGAGTGTTTCTTGTCCCAATTTAGAAGATGCAGTACACACCAGCAGCCATTTAGTTTCACGAAATTGCCGCAGGACACAAAGATACATCTCATATCCTGGCTGACAGCTTTAGCACAAAGCCACACAACGTCTGCCAGGGCTCCTTGTTAAATACTATATTGTTCTAGTGACTCAGTGCACTGGAATGTATCAGGTTTATTCATAGCTTTTCTGATAGAGTCTTTAGATTAGACACAAACTTCTGCTCTTTAGAGAAGAAGTAAGTCTGTGGCTTATTATTATGTGGAGCATACAAAATTCTTAGGGTTTTTTTTTCTGGGGTTATAAATACAGAGAACTGAAACAAAAGGACAGGCCCTCAGAAACCTAATGGTTCTTTTAAGTTTCTAATAAGTAGGACTAAGAACGTTTGAGAGGAGAAAAAAAGACCCAGATGTGCACCATTAGCAAAAGTTACATCAAAAGGAAAGAGGACAGAATCACAGTGAAGATGGCTGAAGACATAGAGCATCTTTTCTGTAAGGATAGTTGAAGTAATCAGGACATTTTAGTCTGGAAAAGAGACCTCTGACAGGGGACACAGTAGGGATCTACAGAACCCAAACCACTGTAGAACTGGCACATATGCAAACAATTCCCTGAACAGGAACTTATTATAGTAATTTTCTTGGCAGCACGTTCAGTTACCAAAAGGAGCTAGTTCAGTACACAAAGTTAAGAGTTAAACTTTGAAACGCGTGGTAGCAGGCCAGAGGCCAGAAGCACATGCAGGTTCAAGTAAGAGCTAAATAAATTGACAGGAGATGAAGGCCATTTCTACCAGCCACTGCTGGAGACCAGACAGACCTCTGCCCTCCCACAGCTCAGGTGTTTGCCGTGTTCTGAGTTCTTAACTAACAGGCAAGAGCCTGTGGCATATTCTGATAAGAACAGCAGCACGAAGCAGGAATTCATCTCCCCTCTGCCCAGTGCTCCTTAGGAGGACTGCAGGCAGGAGGTACTGGCAGCACAAATCCTCCCTGAAATACCAAATCACCTGCTCTCTCTTAGCTTTCTTAATTGCAGTTGTGAGCAGACAAAAAGCACAGCAGCATGTACACAGCTAAGCCCAGTGCTTGCACAGAAAGCATCAGACCTACACTCACATTCATAGAGATGATGCCACATCCTCGTAGGAGAGGACCTGCAATACAACCTGCTGCGATACTTCACTTTGCTGCCAAGTCAGGAAGCCTCAGGTGATGCCTGAAGATGAGTCTCTTGAAAAAATTCTTATATTCCAGCCACAGCCCCGTTATTTAGATATTTAGCGCCACAGAGACAGTCTTGCATAAGAATGACTTGTGAAGGAGTCCCTTGAAACAGGTTATTTTCCTGTTCTGTTCCATGGCAATCACAGACTGTTTCTAGCGTTTCTTCTGTTCTCTGCCAAGAATAGCCCTTCGCTCAGCTATCTCCTACTGACCTAAATTCATACATACTGTCTTCTTGCTTTAACCACAGTCTTCTGCCCTACAAAAGGGACTCCAAACCCCAAATCCTTGTCTCCTATACTCACTCCTCCAGCCATCAGGCCCACAAATGCTTAACAGCTTCTGAAGGTCACTGCTGTGCCTACTACACACAACACCAGACGTAATAAATGTTTTGCAGGTCAAATTATGCCCCCGGGGAAGCCTATGCAGTCCTGTGGCCTTCTGCAGATTGCACAGCTGTCAGGCTGCAACTTACTATGTTCTACTTAAGATATGCAAGGAGAAAGAGAATTCAATGGTATCGACTTATTTTAGCTACTGAAGTCAGCAGATCTGACTCTAAACACACATTGGGATTAGATCTGTCGATTAAGACCATGGCACGATGGCACCGTTGGTCAATAACAGCATCATTTGTTCTTCATATGACCTCTCTGCTACTTCCAGTTTTATTATTCACCATCGCCTTTGTTACAGTAGCTATGTACCAGCTGAGAAGAGAGTCCCCACTGTGTTTGGCACGTAGCAAAAATAGGGTAAAAAGGCTACTCTGAATCCAGAAGTATGAGAAGCTGAATCAATGCTGATAGTAAGTACGAATAGAACATCTGAACCAAGGACATCCTGCATGTCATGCTCTACAGGATACAGGAGAAGTTAAGCAGCCATAAGAAACCACAAATAAGTAAGCCTCTTTTCCTCTTCTTGCACAGAAGCACAGGAATTTCTCTGTTCCCAGGATGTATTTAAACCAACCTGCTGACACACTCCGCTCTCAAAGTGTTATTATTTCGTCCTTGTCTTTCATTAACGAACACCCTCAGTTTTAAAATTCATCATCCCATGTTATCCTTAGGGGAGTCGCCCTCTAGGACTGTTAGAATAAACTTAATTGTGCAGTGGTCTCAGTCAGTCCTGCAGCTCCCACACTCACCTGCTGTGTCTGCGCCTGCATTTTACACCCAGAAGTAGAGTGTCCTCCCAGCGTGCAGATGCCTCCACTAGGCAGTTAACTATTTCAGTCTGGCTGTGCCACTGCACCAGATGGGCCAAGATGTTCCAATTAACCAGTACTTACTAGCTGAAGTCCCTCACAGTAGCAGGTTTAAAAATATTCGTAGACACCTCGAAGCATGGGCTCGTTACTACAGCCCATTAACATGCATGCAAGATATTTTAATGTGTAAAAATTCCCCATGAAGTAACAATTTTCTCCTTCACTTACAGAGAAAACCTGCCATCCTTACCATGAACTAGGCGACACTTTGCAGTTCTTTTTTCTTACCCTTTCCAGCCCACAAGTCAAGCCAAGCCTTATTTGCCTGATTTCACAGCACGCCTTTGTGAGTAACCCCTACACGTGCCGTGGCAGGACACTCACCCGCCTTCCTCCCCAAGTTCAACACCTCTGAGAAGGCTGGAATAGAGAAGCTGAACCTTTGCTCTCCTGACCCTAGAGCCTCCTCTGCTCCGCAGCACAGGAAGCCACACATGACACATTGCTAGATTATGTGGCAACACCTTTAGTGTCGATTCCCCACAGCCTTGAGCAGGTACAAGACACAACTACCTCAGTTCTCTGCTCTGCTGAAACATGCACATGACTGGAAGTGGGAGATGAATAAAATTTACCACTTCCAATAAAAGGAGCTGGGGCACGCTTCTCCCAAAACAAGAGTTAAGCCAAGGAAGCTTGTATTTCTAGGACAACATTGTCCAAGCATGCAGGCTTAGTGCTGCTCCTCAGTGAAATCAGTTTTAAGCCAAAATTAGGCACTACAGAAAATCTTAATCTTGAAATATTATAGTACTCACTGTACAAGGTGATCAAGTGGAAAACTGGAATCTGTCCCTCTTCTGTATCCAAGTCTCTACTCATCTGTCCGGAGCCTATTAGAGAAGAAAAAAGGTTGTAAATATAGACAAAGTGACCAAAAGGTTAAAAAAAAGAAGAAAAAAAAGAAGTAGGCCAGCTAAGCAATGCAAAACAAGAAACAGACACAAACAACCCCAAACACTAAGGTCAAAAACTGGAAGAGCTTGCAAAGCTCACAGCAAGGTGTCTCAAGCAAATACTGTGATGTTTGAAAACTGCTCTGCCACCAGCTGCCTCTGGAGGTTCTCAAGAAGGTCAGATCTGATCCAACCCAAGAACAAAGCAAGGTATTTATAAGGGAGTAGCAGCAACAGCTACACAAAACCAGTTACTACAGAGACAGTGAATCACAGCTCTGTGACACATGCTGATCACCAATGCACCATTACACACGTGGTCAAGATCATTACACAGGAAAACAGACTTTTTTCCTCACTGGCCACAAAAATTATTTTACCAAGACACAGATGGGCTGTGGTCTTGAGTGTAAAGACGTTCCTTTAATAGATTTGTTGTTTCAGCACACTTTATCCCCTTAATAAGGAGCCACTGAACTTCTGCTTAAACCCATTTTGATTAAGCAAAAGATTACCCATAGAACTGCGCTGGGATGCAGACAAAAGGAAAACCCGTTGCTAGACATACATGTTAGTATACATCACACACAGACCAATTATGCTTCGGGGAGACATTAAATCCCCATTCAATTAATAGACACCTCGCCTAAGATGAGCATTAAATAATTCCCTACAACGTAGTGAGACAACTGGCCACTTCAGTAAATTGGAATAACTCCACATCTCCCTGCCAACAAAATCCCAATCAAAACTTGCCTTTAAAACAACAAGAGGTCAGTAAGGAGGGGTGGGGGGCAGGTATATTACTACTGCACTGCTATTGTATGCTTATATTAAAGACTCCTCATCAGAAAATTAAATGAAATGGATGCCTTTCATGTTTATCAATAACAGAGCTAATGGTTTTTATGTAAATGCCATTACTTTGAGCCAGATCTGTGAGAGATTCGAGCCATACAGCCCCATCTCCCCTTGCAAGCGACTCCCCTTCAGGCAGCCAATCTAAATGCAAATTATAATCAAATGGCAAAAGCAAGTTTTCTGGATGATACTGAAAAAGTGAAACTAGGGACAAACCATACATATTTGAGAACCACCCTCCTCTTCTGGAAAGACTTGCTGATCTCATATTGCTTTTTCATCCTGAACATACATGAAAATTAGAAGTATAACTTGGTTCTCATTTACAGACATATTTTTTACCTATACTGCAAAAAGAGGACCATCTTCTGCCATTTGATTGCCCTCGGTGTTAAAACAAGGGGCTGAATGTTCCTCTACCAAGCTACAGAGAGAAGATAACTCAGAGATGTTTCACCCACAACGGGAGCATCTCATCAGCAAAGATATTAAATCAGAGCAATAATAAAGCCCCAATCGGACTTGGCAGAACAAACATTTTCAGGTGGAAATTTCTCCTTGGAATAGAGTTGTTTGTGTAAGTCGGAGGAAGACGGTGTTATCACAGGATGGTTATTAAGAGCCAGAGATATAAATCTGTTGTCAGCACAAGAAGCACCATTCTTGTGGCATAAAAGCTTTTTTGAAGAACACTTAAATCCTGACCCCTTACCTGGAACATATATTCAGTCATGTGCTTTGTCAGCACTGATTAAAACAAGGTACTAATGGCAAATCTGAAAATAACTAATATTAGAAACTGCACTGTTCAGTAAGTAGAATGCACAGAGAAGAAACTAATGATTAAAGTAAAGGCCAAAAATCTGACAGCCTGACTGTGGCACAAGTCTGCAAGCAAGTCTCAGAGGGGACTTGCTCTAACTACCACAAGCAGCTAAACACCAAAACTACCATTCCCAAGAGGGGCACGCGTCCTCGGAGGGATGCAGCTAATTAACAATATAGCTATGTACACGCTCGTTACACGGGTGAAGAGTTTAGCACTGTGTATGTTTTGAAAGTACATGCTACAGGAATATTCATAGAGCAGAACCTCGCTAATTAACATTAATAACCGAGAGACCACTTCTGCAAATGGCTGGATTTTATGACTTCGCCAGCAAGAGAACATGCAAAGCTAGGAAGCCAGAGAGACAATGCCGCCCAGTCAGGCGCCTGGCTTGCTTCTCTGGATATCTATAATTAAATAATTTATCGTTGTGCCTCAACGTCTGCGAGTGAATGTGCAGACTGTAAATAAAGCACCTCTTATTATGCAAGGCTCTGCTAAATGTGATTAGTAGAGTTTGACTGCCCATCGAAAGAGGTCATTAAATTAAAAAACACAACCCTGACTACCTTCTCTCAGAAGCTTTTCCCATGGGATAGCATTTCAGAGAACTCACCAATTTCTTTTTCAGCTGTTCTGACATACTTTGTGGCTAAACAATTACTCACAGACCTATTGTTTTATACAGCAAAACGCTGGCTTTCAATCCTCGATCACTACTTGGAATTGCTAAAGCTCCCTTCTCCTCTTCCTGGTGACACAAGTGTTGGTGTGTGGCCACGTGGTGGGTCTTCTCCAGCAAAAGGAGACGGAAGGCCCAACTTAGAGCATGTTACCACACCAACCCCACGCGTGATCAACCTGAAAACAGCGGAAAAAAGGAAGAAGCCCTTCCAAAACAAGCACATCTTTTCCCCCCAATTCGGACATTTCTGCACCACAGTTCACAGTACAAGCCTGCCAACAGATGTCCTGGCAGAAGTGGCAGTGCTGGGATGCAAAGGAGCGTTGAGGCACAGCAACTCGGGGAGACGACTCTGCCGCTCCAGGAAACACGTCGTGCGAGCGCGCGGCGGCCACGGTGCCACGCAGCCACTCAGGACTTCACACCCAGCCACCACGTGCAAGTGTAATCTGATTTAGCAGTTGCATTCCGACTTCGGCTGTCAAACCACAACCACGGGACGTTTGCTGCAGCAGCATGCTTGCAACCCAGAGCTGTTCCTGTAGCAAAGCTACTTCCTCCCAGAACCAAAGGTTCGAGCTCAGAAACAGTGTATCCAGACATCAGTGCCCCAGCCACCACCCGCACGCTGCTGCACACAACCTCAACCACCAACTTAACCAAGAGGTTATGTGCCAGAGATACAAAGATTTTTCCTTTGGGTGGCAAAAACTTCCAACATTTTTTTTAAAAGGAAGGAACAAAACTGGAAATATTTCCCCTTGCAGACTGCTTACTAAAAGCTGTACAATTCAAGACCATGCTAAACTTACTCAGCACTATTTCAAATCACTTTCTATCATCACGCGCACTGACACAGCCTGTGGCTTCCCCCGCTAAAGCTCAGGGTTTTCCCTTTGCAAGAGTTCAGGTTTATGCACGCCAAAACGGTCTGTTCAGCAGTCTTTTCTTACTGCCTTTTGTGAGAGGCTTCATGCTATGAAGAACGTGTAGAAATGCAAAGCAGAAGTCCATACAAAAAGAAGCCAGTGTGTGAGGTGGTTTTGTGTTAAAAAGAAGGGAGGCAGGAATGACTTATCGCCTCATTAAAGAGCTCCAGTCTGCATTTTTATTAGATATATTTAGACACTAACGGTTAAAAAAAAAAAAAAAAGGAAAAAACATTAAAGCAGTTATATTCTTAACATATGGCCCTGGATCAGTCACATGGATATAAACTAAAATAGGCACAGCAGATTCTCTAAACACAAGCATGGAAATCACTTTAATGGTGCACATGACCTAGAAAATCTCAAGTAATACCCATCTACACAAAGGTGTGACAGGATTTATCTACTGCAGGGCTGTGTCTTGTCCCCATTCTCCTGCATCGCATACACCTGTGCATAACACCCACACGACAGAAGACAGGAAGAGTAACTCCTGCTTGCTCTTAATGAACACGCACACACATACTCACAAACCTTTTGTATCCTTCTTTATGAGGAAAAGAAACTGCTCTCAGCATTGCCTTTGAGCAAAAGGTTCAACTAATGCTGAACCTCGCAGCATACCTCAGCACACCATACCTAAGGTCTCAGCGCTTGCTTGAACGTGGCTTGGAAACACACCAGCACGAGGCTCTGCAGCCCTCTTGCACTAGGATCTCACCACACCTTGTAGTTAAGATATTTCTCTGTTCTCTGATTTAATTATGCAGAGTTTGAAGAGTCTGCAAGCTGATCAATGCGAATACAGCGTGATTTGCCTTTTCATTTTTCAGTGGAGAAACTGAGGCACGAAAGAGCCATATTCTGTCTAAATTCAATTCCTATCTCAGTGGTAAAACTGAGCTGATAGCTCAGCCAGCAGCCTCTTCACTACTGATTCGTGGAAAAAAGACTCTACAACTCGAATAGAGTTATATAGCAGGTATGTTTACTCCGGCGCTGGGGTACAAGGGGATATCTCCACAAAGCTCACACACCCACCACACATTTTACCAAAACCTTAGAGTGCGAATATCCATATTCATTGGATTACATAACACAAACATGCATATGCACGAGTAAGGCTGGGTTGGTTCGAAAGGCTGATGTCAACAGTTTATGTTTTCTCTGCACCTGCCCATTGCCTCCTGGTGGGCGTCTTCAGGAGTCTTCGGGAGGAAGGTTTGTAGTCTTCCTCACCTTGTTTTTTCCCCCGGAGCGCACACACATTCTCTTGGCCAGTTTCTTAAATAACAAGAGTTTTTCAGACCGTTTACTCATTCTATCTTATCTAAGAGAACTAATAGAACTTCTACCATCCGTATCTGGCTATCTTTACTCATTACCAAAACTCCAACTAGTTAGAGCACACCTGTTCCCCAAGGACAAAAACATAATATTTTGCTGAACGTTACAGTTCTTGGTAGATTTTCACAGTGAACTTCTTTGTTTTGATGAACACAGTAGTCCTTTGTAAAATTCCACAAACAGTCTGAGCAAGCAGGATTCTTAGCAATATTAAAAAATACTATGAGTAATACAATAACTTGCTATAAGTAAGTAAATAAGTTGCTAAGCAGTTTTCTGTAAGTAA